CATTACCTGGCCAATGCGATGGCTGATGAAGCTGCAGGCTTTTGGGCCGAGAAGTGTGCGGTTCCAAATACGGTGGTGGCGGCTGTGGAGCACGCTGAGGCGATTTGCAGAGCAGTACGGAAGCACCTGGCCAAGGCGTTCTTGGCAACAGCGGAGGCTGAACCGAAGAGACTGCGGCCAATACGTTCTATGGCGGTGTGCTTTCGGCGCAAGGTCACGCACGATGTCGAAGCATCAGATGTTCACTGGTATGGGAACGGCCTTGCATTGCTCAGTGCCAGTGGTCGGAAGCTGGAGAAGTTCCTGAATACACCTTGCCTGGGTGGTGTTGTCAAGGGCAGTATCCTGCGAGTTGGTGACTTTGGAGTGTTGGTGCAAGGAGTACCGATACATTAATCTCATCTGCTGGGGTACTTCAGTGGCCTGCATATTCACGCGTGCTTGAAGTGTGGCTGTGTCGGCAAGCATTTCTTGAGAGGACTGGTGGACGAGTGCAGCGGTCATCTAGGGCACTATGGTTATCAGAACCTGGGCAAGCTGGCGCGTGGCATTCTTAAGGGACGTGTCATGATCACCCGCAAGTCGCCCAGTACCAGCAGCTTCTAACTCTACTCCTGCTGCGACTTTTACTTTCAGATCATGTTGATCGATGGAGGCCGCTATGATTTTCATGGTATTGGCCTCCACCTTGAGAGCGGCCTCGGCGTGCAGTCTCGCTGGGGGTGGCCCCTCCTGGGGCCCCAGCCATGTGCTACGGCGAGGCGCTCTTATTCCTGGGGGTGGCCCCTCCTGGGACCCCAGGTGGCAGCCGTGGATTACGGTTATCCGTCTTGGGCTTGCTGACATGTGGCATTCTCCTGTAGGGACGTGTCATGGTTTCGCAAGGGGCCCAGTACCTGCAGCTCTAACTTCTTCTACTCAGCTGCTTACTTCCCATCATTTTGGTCGTTTGGAGGCTACTGTGGTTTTCATGGTGGCAGCCTCCCTTTCCGAGGACGGCCTCGGCGTGCTGGTATTGCTTGGGGTGGCCCCTCTTGGCACCCCAGTCAGGTACTTCGTCGAGGCTATTCCTGGGGGCGGCCCCTCCTGGGACCCCAGGTGGCAGTCGCGGCTGAGCGGCTGCCTGTCCTCCTCCCTCCTCCTTTCCTCGCCCGCGCGTGTCTCAGCCTGGCGTCGGCTTCGGAGGAGAGGCGCTCACGGCCCGCGGAGTACTACTCCCCCTGCCCCTCCCCCTCCTCCTCTCCCCTTCCTTCCTCCGTCCTTCCCCTCCCCCCTCCTCCTCATCCTCCGCCCTTCCTTCCTCCCTCCCCTCCGTCGTTCCCCCCCCCCTCCTCCCTCCGCCGGAGGAGCCGTAAACAAAAGCAAAGACGTGAGGATGTCTGCTTCGCTCGGCCTCTGGGGCTCCTGGCCCGGCCCCGAAGCGGTCAGGCAAGGACCCAGGACGAACAGAAACCGATGCTCAGGGGAATGGGTCGGGTCCACGCCGTGAACAAAATCATAAGAACGTCGGAGGAGGGAGGAGGGAGGAGGGAGGAGGGAGGAGGGAGGAGGGAGGAGGGAGGAGGGAGGGGAGGGAGGAGGGAGGAGGAGGAGAGGAGGAGGAGGAGGTGGAGGAGGAGGAGGAGGAGGAGGAGGAGGAGGAGGAGGAGGTCTGGGTGGGCCAGCGACCGCGGCCCACAAGGCGCATCCAGGTAAAACCGCGGTCGCCGGCACACCCGATGCGACAGCAGAGGGGGCAGCCAGAGCGAGGTGCACGGGGAATCTCTGCGAGTCAGCGGGGGCCCAGACATCCTCGGATATGTTTTTTGCCTAACAGCTTTTGCTGATAGGTTTCTAGTGGTCTCAAAAGAGAGCAGCAGATGACTCCACAGGGGGGTCGGGGCGGGACCCGGATCGGCTGCCGCCGAAGCCGAAATCGCTTGGGACATCCTCGCAAAATCGCTCTTGGTGCTCCCAGAACTCCATTCCCGGGCCACATTTTGGATGCCCGGAGCCAACTGTAGGCCACTTCGTGCTCTTCGACTTCCCAGAACTCCATTCCCGGGCCACATTTTGGATGCCCGGAGCCAACTGTAGGCCACTTCGTGCTCTTCGATTTCCCAGAACTCCATTCCCGGGCCACATTTTGGATGCCCGGAGCCAACTGTAGGCCACTTCGTGCTCTTCAAGTTCCCAGAATCCATTCCTGGGCATGATTTTGAATGCCCGGAGCCAACTGTAGGCCACTTCGTGTTCTTCTAGTTCCCAGAACTCCATTCCTGGGCCACATTTTGAATGCTGAGGCAGGCTGATGCTGCGGCCGAGGCAGGCTGAGGCTGAGGCAGGCTGAGGCTGAGGCCGAGGCTGAAGGCAGACTGAGGCTGAGGCTGAAGCAGACTGAGGCTGAGGCTGAGGCAGGCTGAGGCTGAGGCTGAAGCAGGCTGATGCTGAGGCAGGCTGAGGCTGAGGCTGAGGCTGATGCAGGCTGAGGCTGAGGCAGGCTGAGGCTGAGGCCGAGGCTGAAGGCAGACTGAGGCTGAGGCTGAAGCAGGCTGAGGCTGAGGCTGAGGCAGGCTGAGGCTGAGGCAGGCTGAGGCTGAGGCTGAGGCAGGCTGAGGCTGAGGCTGTGACTGCGACTGCCGTTGCCGCTGCGACTGTCATCGCGAATGCGACTACGACTGCGAGAACAGCAGAATTCTACAACTGGATTTTCATCTGAATCTTAAGGGGAATGCTTTCAGATATGCTTCTACATATCGCTGTTAGGTTACTTTGCCGGGATAATTTCCATCTGCGGCCCCAGAACTCGCGATCCCTTCCCCAGAGAAATATTTTCGTCCCCGATCCGTTCCTGGTGGAGGAAGAGGAGGAGGAGGAGGAGGAGGAGGAGGAGGAGGAGGAGGAGGAGGAGGAGGAGGAGGAGGAGGAGGAGGAGGGAGGAGGAGGAGGAGGAGGAGGAGGAGGAGGAGGAGGAGGAGAGGAGGAGGAGGAGGAGGAGAGGGGGGAGAACGATGATGACGAGGAGGACGAGGACAAGGAGGACGAGGACAGCGACGTGCACGAGATGTGCACATCTCGTGCACCTTCGGGGGCCCCATGGGGCCCACTCTGAGGCACCTCTCCTGCAACCCCCGACCCACCCTCCATTGATCGCCCCCCCCCCTCATCACGAAGTGGCCTGGCCGGGGTGCATGGCTGGTGTTCCCCGACCCCGCACTGCCCGCTCGCCCTGCTGGCTGGTGCAGGCACGCGAGGGGGCAGCAAAGAAAAAAAAACGCCCTGCAGAGCGCGGCCCAGGCTGCTCTCTGGAGTCTGTCACGGCGAGAGCACTGGGCAACGAACCAATGGATAAGGAGTCCAGGCGCTGAAGGCGGTGGAACTCCAACCGTGGATTGGCCACGGATACCACCGCCGCCCTCATCGAATGAGGAATCCTCCAGGATCTGAAGCCTCCTGGGTGCATTCCGTAAGCAACGCTCCCGCAGTAACCCGGCTCAAGCGGGCGCGGTGCTCTTGCTCTGCTGTGCGGGGCACGCGGCAAGACAAGACCATCGAGAGGATAATCAAGGGATGGGTTGCCGACGCCGAGGCCGATGCCGACACGGCCACCGACGCCGACGCCGACGCCGACGGCGAGACCAGGGGCGGTGGCGGCGGCGGCGCAGGTGTCTCGACAACTTCGCCCTATGGGCGGCGCAGAGCCCCCGCTCTCTCGGCGTCGCCGACGCCGACGCCGACGCCGACGCCGACGCCGACGCGACGCCTACGCCAACGCCGACGCCGCCACCGCCGCCGCTGACGCCGACGCCGCTGACGCCGACGACGACGCCGACGACGACGCCGACGCCGACGAAGACGCCGACGCCAACGCCAACGCCGACGCCGACGTCGACACCGACGCCGACGCCGACGCCGACGCTGACGCCGCCGACGCCAACGCCGACGCTGCCGCCGCCGACGCCGCCGACAGAGCGGGAGCTCTGCGGCGCCCATCGGGCGGTGTTGTCGAGACACCTGCGCCGCTGCCACCGCCGCCGCTGACCCCGACGCCGACGCCGACGACGACGCCTACGCGACGCCGCCGCCGACGCCGACGCCGACGCCGACGAAGACGCCGACGCCGACGAAGACGCCGACGTCGCCGATGCCGCCGCCGCCTACGCCGACGCCGACGCCGACGCCGCCGACGCTGGCGCCTACGCCGACGCCGACGCCAACGCCGAGAGAGCGGGAGCTCTGCGGTGCCCATCGGGCGGTGCTGTCGAGACACCTGCGCCGCCGCCGCCGCCGCCGCCGCCCCCGGTCTCGCGTGCCAGCACGGCGGGGGGGGACGAGGGAACAGCTGGGGGCAACGTCGTCTTTCTCGTCGCTCTGCACCGCTTCGAATGAGCTGGACTTGACGATCGTCACTCGCCCGCTGTTCGGGCGGCACCGGCAGCGGCGGCGCCCCAGCCTCGTAGGCGGCGGCGGCAGGCTCGCGTCGTGAGCAGAAATCCGACAGGGGGCTCTGGACAGTTTTCGACCTCGGCGTCGCGATCTTTAGTCGACGGCGTGGACCCCGGGAGCTCTGGACCCCTTCCGCGGCACTGGCTCTCGCGATCCTGGCCTGGCGGCCCCAAGGCCTGGCGGGGGCCCCCCCCAGGAGGCCGCGGCCTTCCACGACGCGCGGGGTTCTGGGGCGCTGGAGGCCCAGGCACCCGACGACATGCTTGAACAGAGGAAACACGCGCCGCCCTGGAGCTCCCGACCAGCTCCCCGAGGCTGGTTTTCCCGCCCGGGCCCGTGTTCGAGGACCCCGGGGCCCGACCACCGGCCCGGGAGGCCGAGCAGGAGCAGCAGGAGGAGCAGGAGGAGGAGGAGGAGGAGGAGGAGGAGGAGGAGGAGGAGGAGGAGGAGGAGGTGGAGGTGGAAGGAGGGAGGTGGAGGTGGAGGTGGTGGTGGAGGAGATCAAGGAACAAGTCTGGGAAGAAACAATCACATCGTGGAATCTGGGGGGGGGGGGGGCGGCGCCGTCGAGGGTCCTGCGGGTCCTTCGGGGGGCTGCTGGCGGCGGAGGATCCGGGGCTGCCCATCATCGTGCTGACCTCGGAGGACGCGCGGCGGGGCGTGGCCCTCCGCTTGTCGTTCTCCTCTCTCCTTCCTCCGCCCTCCATCCTCCAATCCCCCCTTCCCCCACATTCCTCCCCATCT